AAAATCTGAAGTGGAATCAGCATTGGCCAAATTGAACAGAAACAAAGCAGCAGGATCAGGCAGAATTGTAATAGCAAACTGGCAGACTTAGATGATTTTAGCACTGGCAAGATTACCAACATAAAGGAAATATACAACAATGGTGAGATACCAGAAGACTCAAGTAGATCCATTTTTATAGAAGCACCAAGAAGCCAAGTGCAAATGAATGTGAACTCCAATGGACAATCAACCTAATGAGCCATATAGCAAAATTTATCTGAATTCTAATGAATAGAACATGCAGCAGAATCAGAAATAGGACATGAACAATGCAAGTTTGTTAAAGACAATGGAACAAGGAATGTAATATTTATGTTATGAATGATACCAGAAAGAGAAATACAAATGCAGGTGGTGTACCTATGTCTTATAGATTATGCAAAAGCAGTTGATAAAGTACATTGCAAAGAACTATTGGAACTGCTTGGTAATCTTGACATATTTGTGAAAAATATTAGAATAATCCAGAACCTATACAGGCAGCAAACTGCTTGCATATGGATAGAAAAAGAGTTTGGTTAATATACAAAAACAGAAAGGGGTGTAAGACAAGGATGTGTCTTCTCACCAGTTCAGTTTATCATTCTCCCATAACTACTATTCAATAACTATATTTTAACTGTATGGCTCTAACAATATTCTTGCAATGATGTACTGTTTTTGCTTTGTTATGGAAAGAAAAAAACATCCACAAACAGAAAACAGTTCAGTGAAATATACAAATTACTTTTACAAACTTTTATCCAGTGATGATGGTATAGCATAATGTGTATCAGTGTGGAAAATGGAAATGATAAAGCTGAAATTTTGACTGAGATAAGGTACTTCAATTAGCACTAATGTCACTAGTTTTGAGTCTTTGTCCTATTGTCAATATGATTCAACACTACTCTCCTTGTCCTATTCTTGGCATGATTCAGCACCCTAGTCATTATCTTATTGTCATCATGATTCAACACTCTTGTTTTTGTCCTATTGTTAGCATGATTCAATAACTCTGTTCTTGTCCTATTTTCATCATGATTCAACATGACTGCCCTTATCCTATCATTGGCAGGATTCCACACCTCAGTTCTTGTCCTGTTTTCATCATGGTCTAACATCCCTGCCCTTGGCCTATTATTTGCATAATTCAACACCCTTGACCTTGTCCTATTTTTGGCTTGATCCAGCACCTTGTCCCTAGTCCTACTGTTGGCAGGATTCAACACCTTTGCCTTTATCTTATGGCTGGCAGGATTTAACATCCTTGCCCTTGACCTAGTATCAGATATCTTGATAAAAATATCTTGTTTCTGTCATGCCATGATGGTTAATGGAGAAGAGTGTAATTGATAGCACATTTGCGAAAACCATTCACCCATAATTACCACTCAATGAGTTGTTATATTCTTTATCAACTTTGATAGTAGACCTGCCTGACTACATATATACATGAATATTCTTCATATTATGATGAATGTAGCATCTAAATGATCTGACATAATACTGGGTTAAATTATCTTGCTAAGGATGTGGAGTTTATTTATAATATATAAAGAGAAAAGGTTAAAAACACCCCAAGACGTATGACAGAATCAGCTTCAAAAATTATTAATTGAACATAATTATTGGTGTCATTACTTGTGTATCAAAAGCAGAAAATACAAAATAAAATAGGAGAAACTAAAAGGAGAAAAAATATTTTTTTTTATGATTTTGGAAAAAAGAAAATAGAACCAAAATAAAATGGTGAAAAATAAATAAAAATTATGGCAATAAAAATTAATGCTGTATTAATGAAAAAAAATGACATTGAAAACATAATAACAAAAGCAACAAAAGTAAAAATGTTTAATTTGCCATTCTTGCAGATTTATTAATTACATTAGCTTGAAGGAAGAGAACTCAACACCAAGCGGAAGATGAAAATGATGAGTTGAAATTATTATACTGTTCAGTCGATTTTTTTAGCAGCTCTTATATTGCAGGTGTAAACAATTTAAAATGTAAATAATTCTTTTTAAAGCAAAAAGAAAAAAATATTATTGGAGTAAAAATGAAGAGCAAATCAAAAGAAAAAAATATAATTGCCATAAAGCAATAAAAAATGAAAAAGCTCAGTGATTATCAGTCCTTCTTTAGAGTTCAATTGAAGGATCAAAAAAAATATGCACAATGATTAAAATCCAGAGAGAATACCAAAGAAAGTTAATATATATATATATATATATATATATATATATATATATATATATATATATATAAGGCAAAAACATTCTGGCCCAAAAGCTACTTCTTTTTTGCTTACTAAGGGCAGGCTGCAGGGACTTGATATATATTGAAAAATGACTTTTTAAATGGTACTTTGAAGATGCCTTACTCAAAACAGAGATATCGTCTTCAGTATAGAATGTGACACACTGAAGATTACTTAATAAGTGTTCAGCTATCACAGAACAAGATGTATTAATAATTAATGTAGGTTAGCATTCACTGAACATTCTTTAGGCCACAAAATTTGTTAGAATTAAAAAAATATTGATTACAGTGTATACAGTGTAAAATCATTCCCTGAGATTTTACAGAGTTATCTAGACTTTTTTGTTGAGCAGACGCACAAACATTATTTATCTTAAATGAAGAAGAAACAGACTTATATTAATTTTTATAGATTTTTTATTTTATAAATAAATGCATTTGTTCTTTATTTGTAAAATTTTTTATAAAAAATGTAAAAAAGTTTCACCTGACAAAAAGTTGCTTGTTTAAAATATGTATACAGGATGCTGCAAAAGTAGGTATACAGTAATGAAAAACAAAACGCATGGACAAAATGGATTGTATTGATTATACAAACATATCAATCCCTCAAATGTCCAAAATTCTTGCCCCCATCATTCATACACACACCTCTTTACCTGCAAAATATTTATTACTATTATTTATTAAATTATTTATTATTTATTAAAAAATAAAAATTATAATAAATGTATTATAATAAAAATTATGAAAATAAAAATATTCAAAATAATTTCAATAAATTAAATGAATCCGAGAAAGAACATTTATAATACTGGTCATATTGGTATAATACTTACTGTATATCTACTTTTGTGTATACCCTGTGTGTTTGTTCTTTAATTAAAATATATATATATATATATATGTACTTTAAATGACAAAAAATCTTTTTGTCAAAATAAATGTAAAAAAAAAAAAAATTTCCACGGATAACCAATTGCTTTTGTTTGTTAATAACATATTTTCTTAAAATAAAAGTCCTAAAGATGTATTTATTCATTTGATCTTTGTTTAAAAGAAATCGTTTTGAAAAAAAAAAAAAAAATTTTCATACCAGATATCAATGTCTTTCAAGACTTATTCACAAATGAATGAAATTATTTTAGAAAAGTTTCTTTTATAGAAAATCTTGATAAAAATATTTTTTTTACATCTGTTGCTCTCACTGATTTAATTTTATGAAATTTTGAGAAATTCATTTATGTGTATTAGCATGTAAGTAAATATAATGAAACTGATGGAAATTGGAACTTTTCAATGTTTAGCTATTTTCAGCTATATTTACAAATTTGTCAGTGCAACATAATTTTCTTTATTAAAAAATCTTTCAAAAATAAAATGTACTTTTCTGAAACTTTATTTGAGGAAGATTTAAAGTTTAATTAATCTGATTTTAAATAAATATTACTTACTTTTAGTTTAAAACATTGCAGAAAAGCATTTTTTAACATGTGAATGTTTTTATGAGCTGTTGACAACTATCTTGATAGACTTATGTTTGAGAATTTTTTCTATAGGGAACATATCTGTAAAAATTACTTGACAAATATAATGTGAGTGCCTTTTTTTATATAATTTTTTAACTACCGAGTAATCTTAAAAATGTAGGAAAATATTCTAAGTAATGTAATATTTTCTTGGATTTTAGGTATTTTGGTTTTAAATTTACTATAGTTACCACTCTTAATTTTTGAAAATGTCTGTATTTAAAAACTTATCATGTCTATACACATACAAAAAAATTTAAAATTCCTTTTAAAAGTATTGGTGGGGGTAAGCTTTTCCATTTAGGATTAGTAAAAATATGTTTTATTACAAATTAATGCAGAATTTTAAAAATTTTAAATTTTATAAATAATTCTAATTAAAATGAAAAAAAATGAAAACAATTCTTGTAAAAATTCATTATTCATTGAAAAAGCATTTCATTTGTGCAATAACTATAATCTTAACCTCTTCAAGTGTAGGATTAAGTGTTATCTTTCCTACATAACCTCATGAACAGCACTTTTTCTTATGCTCATACAGGATCACACAATAGCCCTCTACTTTGAGTGGCTCTTGAGCCTTGTATCAGGTAAACATTTGTAAAAAATATATATATGTTATATTTATCATTTGGTGTGTAATAAAAAAGAAATATATTAAATTCATTACTTGTATGATTATTCTACTATTTTACATTATTTACATTATTCGGACTCTTGTCCTCATCTTTGTCGTCATATTTATTACAACGTTTCGGCCATTGTACGCTCCGGCCTTCTTCAGGTGGTTTATGTCAAACTGAACCCTTTATTTTGCTCACTGGGGTAGACTGTTCTAGTTCCACGTGCCATGTTTAATGGATGTCTGTTATCAGTTATCTCCTGTTAATTTCCCTCTGAAAGTACCCCACTGCCTTAACCGGGTTATTGAACTCACACTCTTTGGATCCTGTCCCTGGATCTAACTAACACCTTTATCCACTGTGCCATGTGTCCTTGAGTGGATAAAGGCATTAGTTAGATCCATAATGGATAATGGCTCAGAATTATTAATTGGAGAGCTGAGTTTCAATTCCCTTTTGTTATATTCATTTACGTGCAAATACCCTTGGGAAATGTATGAATCCACTTCTTCTCCCCAAGATATTGGTTAATTGGCAATATTTGTATCCCTTTGCACATTCAAGGTTACAGCACCTGTATTCCCAAGCAGTCACCCATCTAGGTATTGACCAGGTTCAACATTACTTAACTTTGGTGATTGTATAGGAACTGGTGTTTGAACATGATATGGCCATAAGCCGTACTGCTTTAAGAAAGAAAAGTAAATCAGGGAGTAAAAATCTTTGAAATCTGTTTGTCTATGACAATGACAATATGTGATTTTTTAAGAGAAATTTATATTTACTTAATGTCTATATGAGAATAAGACCTCTTACATGAGAAATAATTATCATTGTTTTAATATTATATATATATCATATATATTATAATAATATTGAAAAATAATATATAATATATATATATATATATATATATATATATATATATATATATATATATATATAAATAAAAGAAAGAACAGTAAGATATATAATCCGGTGTTCTTATAGATATTTTTATTTTAACAAAATAGTACTCAATGTAAATTTACAGAGCATTAATATTATAAATTAATTGATTTAAAATATGTTTTAAAACATATTTTAAATCAATTAATTTATAATATATATATATATATATATATATATATTATTGTTTTATAATTACTATTATTATTATGATATATTATTATTGTTTTAATATTAGAAGCATTAGTATATATATCATATTATTATTATTATTATATAATTATTGTTATTACTATTATTATTATAATTATTATTATTATACTTTTTTATTTGGTTGAACTAGCTCGGACATTCATGAGTCTATCATGTCAACCTTCACGGTCATGCATCAAGGTCAGAAGGTCCTTAGGGTGGCATTCTGTGACATAACATAGCTGGTCAATATAAGTGGTTGCTAAGCGACCAACCTTGCTCCATGGCTCGGTGTCCAGAGCAGTAGATCACTTACCAGTTCATGTTTTTCCCATCAGCAGTGTTTTTCAAAACACATTATTATAATTATTGTTTTATAATTATTAGTATCAATATTATATATTATTATTATTATTGTTTTATAATTATTCTGTTACTTAATATTATTATTTGTTAGTAATCTAATAGATTTCGTCTTGAATTTTATACGAAAATATTGGGAAGATCCCTAAAGTAAAATCGGTAAGATTTTTTTTTTAGTTTTCTACTTTTTTCTTTCACACCTTCTGATGTATTAGAAATTGTTTTTTTTTAACAAAATTTTTAGTGATTAAAACATTTTATGTGATGAAGTGAAATCAGTTTGACATTTTTGTCTTGCATGTTTGTTCATTTAATCAATTTAGGTTTTTTTCCTTCATTCTTTTAAAATATAAAAAAATTAAATGAAATGGAAAAAATATTGTTTGTTGATGTGTGTGTATACATGCCTGCGTACATGTATCATTGAGTGTATGTGTGTGTGTATATGCGCATTTTTCAGTGTTGCACAGAGAAGCACTGCATGTTAGCATGTGTTTGTTTGTATAAGTGTGTATATGTCTGTTGGCGGGTACATGCTCCTGTATGAATGTGCATGTAGTTGAAATCCTGAAAAGACATGAATATATGTTTCTTTATGTGTATGCATGAGTGTATTGTTTTCTCTGTATACAATTATATATGAATGTATGCATGTGCATGTGTATGTGTGTGTGTGTACAAGTCTGTGCGTGTGTGTGTGTGTGCATATTCCTTCAAATGAAATCTTCTGGCTATTTTGTTCCACTTCAGAACCCTGCTGACCTTTAGCATTTCTGTGGTTAAAGAGATTTCATTGTGAAGACACTGGAGACATCTTTTTTTGTTCTTTGGGTGGGTGGGTAGCAGGAAATCTAGAGGGAGAAAGAGAGTCAAGCAAGAGAGAGGGAGAGGGATAGAATATTGTAACAGAAGCAGAACTAGAGAGTAAAAAAAAAGAAACAAGGGATGAGAATGAGCAAAACAAAAGAGGACTATGAAGAGAAACATGGTGAGAAAGAAGGGGAATGGAAAGAGAGAAAAAGAGAGAAGTAGAGAGAGATATAGTATTGTAACAGAGGGAGAAAAAGAAGCTAATGAAGAGAATGAGCAAGACAAAGGAGGACTATAAAGAGAAACATAAAAAGAAATGGAATGGAAAGAGAAAGGAGTAGATAGGGATAGAATATTCTAACAGTGGGAGAACTAGAGAGGAGAAAAAGAACCAAGGAGAGTGAATAAGCAATTCAAAGGAGGATGTTAAAGAGAAACAGGGTGAGAAAGAAAGGGAATGGTGAGAGAGAAAGTGAGAATGAGATAGAGGATTAGAGATAAAAAGAGGAATATAGAGAGTGAAAAAGAAATAGAAAGAAAGGAGATGAGAGAGGGAGAGGAGTGGAGAGAGAAAAGAGAAGAGTGGAAGAATGACAGTAGCAGAGAGAGAGAGTGAATACTATCAATGGGGACAGTGTAAAAGAGAATCTGTGTGGAGAAAAGAGAGAGAAGGGAGAGAAATGGAATGGTCAGGTGTAATGGAAAGGGAGAAGAAGGAGAACAGAAATAGAGAGAAAGAGAACAAAATTAATAGAGGAGAGAGTAAGAGTGAATAGAAAATGAGAGTTAGAAAAGGAGATAAAAATGGAGAAGCAAAAAAGGGAAAGACAGAAAGAAAGAGAGTGAGAGTAAAAGAAAGTGAATAAAGGAAGGAAGGAAGGAATAAATAGAAAAGAGAACAGAAGAAAGAAGAAGATTTAAAAGAAAGAAAGAAAGAAGTTGATGGTATGGGTTGAGGGGTTAGGAAGGGGAAGAAACAGTCTGTTATCAAAGCTCCAATGATTTTACTTGTGATGTTTTTCTTTCTTCTTATTCTTCATACATTTTTTGCCTGTTTATTCCTAATGGAACCAGGATTTACCATTTTCTCCTCTTCAGAACTCTTCTCAGTCAATTAGATGATTCATAAGAGTAATTTTTACTAATGGTATATTTTTTTCTGGGTGAAGGGGTGAGTATTCTTATTGCTTTCCATCTTTGTAATCCAAAGCTTCTATTAATTTATTGCTTGTTTTTCTTGCCTTTTTTTTTCTTTCATCTGATATATTTTCTATTACCATGGTGATCTACAATATAGCAACAGTTATAAAGTTAATAATTTTGATAATTAGGATTCGATTTGATCTATTAAAGTATACATGTTTACATTTATGTAAAAGATTCCACCTTTTTTTTATCAGCCACCATTAAGAATACTAAAATTATCAGGTCATTTTTTTGATATTTTATGAAGAAACTTTTTGTAACATTTGTTTTGAGTAGAGAAAAACACAGAAAAATAATTCTAAATATTTTTTAAATAAGAAAGGAAAAACTTGTTTTATTTTCTCTAAAAAAATCAAAGTGTTGTTCCTGTTTTTACTCCTAAAACATTTTAAAAAAGAAAACTCTATTGAATTTAACAGTTCACCAAAACTAAAGTGAATTTACTTATTTGTGGATCTGTGGATTTTTTGTAATGGCTACTAGCTTCTTTGATTTAATTGATGTGTTATTGTTTTACGGTTTATCAACCCTTTGCCTGTTGAGGGCATTTTCATGTGTACTATTCAAGTGTTCATGCTTGTTTTCAGATTTATAACTATTGCAAAGCAACTCAGCTTATTTGGCAAATAGAATTTACTGGTCTATAGTGTTTCACATAATAAAAACATACAAATCATAAGTTATTTATACTAAGCTCTGTTTATCACCTGTGATGTACAGTTTTTTGTTATATGAAACACTATATATCAGCATATTCTATTTGCCAAATAAGCCGAGTTGCCTTGCAATAATTATAAATCTGAAAACAGGAAAATGTCCTGTAGTCATATATAATGTACAAAACATTAGATTAGGCCTTTCCTTAGACATCCTGCTCAATAGTAGACTCTTTTCTTAAGCGTCCTTAGTTTTACCATTCTTTTAAAATCTTGGCTTGTATGCACCATAAATGATACATGGACATGGAAATCATATGATGTACAGAAGAGGCAAAAGGTTAAATCTGAAACATATTTCAGATTGTAGGAGTTTACTTACAGTATCCAGTGTTCCAAAGTGGTCCCCCATCTAAGTACTGAGCAGGCTCTATGTTGCTTAAGTTCAGTCACCACATAGTGACTTGGAATGAAAAATTAGCAAGTCAAGTTCAAATTCTGGCCAAGTTCCTTGTAATGTAGCAATAACTCTAAGTCGAAGCTTATGAAGATTTATTTGATCAATTCAGCTTCAGTGCTAAAAACATTTATTTTATTGTGATTGATGGTTGCAAGTGAGAGGGGAGATGGGATATGCTTATTTTATTACCACACTCATTACATTAACTTTTGTACAAGTACTTTTGGGAAATGTATGGATTCCCACCAGCTATGAGTTACACAACAGGATAGACTGAGACCTCTACCCATAGTTGGTAACCAGTCTAGAAGATGGACAACACTGAATTCAAAACTGTATGTAGCTCTGGCAAAGCACATAATACATAGTCATGAAAAGGGTAAGAGAGTTCACAATTAACTATGGTGCAGGGTTGTTAACTCCATGATTTTGACTGTGGTGGTATTTAATTTGTATTGTGTTGGTATTTATTTTGACTGTGGTGGTATTTTTGATGTTATTTTTTGATTTTGACTGTGGTGGTATTTATTTGTTTAAATTCTGAAATGTTCTGAATGAAGAGAAAATTGGTTCATTTTAAATATAGATAAGTTTATATGTAAAACTTGTCAAAAAATGATTGGTTAGATTTTCGGAATTTAGTATCATGTAATTTACACATTGACAAAAATTGATATTCAATAAATTGATCAATTTTAATTTAAAATTTAAATGTAAAGATTTCTATGTTTTTAATATTGCAGAGAGCAAGAGAGAGGGTGGAAAGAGTGAGAGAGAGAGAGAGACATGTACATTTGTGGGTTATTTAGAGCAAAAACATGACAAGAATAATTCTTTTTTTTTGAGATTGAATATTGCATTAACAAATTTTTGAGAATAACAATGATTTTTCCAGATACAAGTCCTACTATTTGATCCATAGCTGGAGGGAGATTAAGATATACCTTTCTCAAGGGTATTTGTGCATAAGTGAATTTAATGAAACAGACTGGGCATACTTGGATGTTGATGTGTGGGTATAAGTATTAGTATATGATCCTAT